AGATCACTTAATAATGTTGAAGTGTGCAAATAAAATGGTTTAATTATACAAGTATGGTTTAATAAGCACAGTATTAACTATTAGTCACTTTAAGTCACATTTCACTGCTTCTATTTCTTTACTTTATCTTTCTCTGTCTCTGAGTTCTCTTCAGATTATCTTTTCCTAGCTCTGAACTCTTTTTGAATAGTGTTTTCTGGTTGGCAACTTTGTCATTCAGTATTAGTCAAAATAAATACAAGAATTATTTTGTTGTATTATATTTTAAGACTGATATAATTAAGTAATGATTGAATCAATCTTTTCAGGAATAGCCACTTGCCAGTAAACTTTTAATCTCACCTGTATGTGAAACTAAATGAAACTGTTACATGGTTGATTAATTGAGTCAATTTGATTTCACAGGAGTGTCAATACATGGTCACTGGTCACCTAATGAAGGTGGTCACTTAGTCCTTATATTGAAAATTTATAGGGAGACTTTATTGTGGTTGTATGAAGGTGAATGCTTTTAATACTGTATAGGTCTTTACCTAATCTCTAAAATGAATTTGTTAATCAAATCCATTATAATCTCTAATTTATCTCTAAAATTTATCCTAAGGATTATTATCGAGTGTTGTTGATGGCCCATTGAAGGTATGATATTTGATTGTATTGCTGTTGAATAAGTTTAGAAATGGTTAGAAATTGCATGAGACAATTTAAATGAACATTGAATAAAGGATTAAACTGATATACAACTACAAGTTTGACTGTATTATTCTATTACTAACATGCAATTCGATCCTCCACTGAATAGGATCAATATTCCATTTTATATTAGGCTTTTCTACAAGGTTGAATTATTCTATCAATCATTCATCAAGATCAGTGAGAATTTTTTCATCACATATTAATCTTCAATCAAATTTTTTTTTAGATACTTTAAGTCATGGATAGGCATGCCATTTTTGTGACCAATCATACTTTAGTCTCAGAAACAGGAATTTTTTAGCTAATCTAATCAGTAATAGTGTTCACAGCCCAACCTCAGAATAGAAGCCTTCAAATCCATGTGTGTCTAGAACTATCTACATTTGAAAGTTAAAAAGCCTTTTCTTGAGATGTATAGACAAGACATAACAGAAATAGAAAAGCAACCCTTTTTTGTGACATTTAATTGCATTATCTTGAAAGATTGAAATGTGCCTTTATCAAGATTAGTTAAAACTTGAAAACACTTGTCTTATATTGTTACATGAAATTTATATGTTTCAAATAATTCAGAAGACATTTTGGAGGAATATAGATCCATATTGTATCCAAAATCAAATTAAAGTACAGTAATTCACATTAAAGATAGCTTGGCAGGCAAGGTAATATATGCCTACTTGCAGCTTTGATTTTGAACATAAATATTTAGCAGTACAGTAACAATCACCAGTATGAAATATTATTCAACCTTCAGTCAGACACTTCTTTTTAATTGTTTGGGTGATAATGAACAATATTAGTTTTGTCAAAATCTGTCAAGAATTGTGACTTTATAGAGTGTTTATGAGTTTTCAAGAACAAAGGGCAATAACTCATACTAAATATTTTCTATCCTGTTTATTTTCAGTCAGGTTCATCACGCCCAGTTTAAACAAAATCCCTGAAGAATTGTGCCTCCTACAGTGTTTACGAGCAATCGTGGACGTACAGACGGACATGGGTGATGCCATGATATGCGTGTCACATTTCACGTGGGTGTATAAACATAGATATCACAATACCACTTAACCCAATACAGTCAGGTCTTAACACAAAAATTAATGACATTGTAAACCTGATGGTTCAATTCAATGTCACAATAAACCTTTGATAAATATAATTATAACATCTTTATCAACGAGAATTTTATAATATCTCATTCTCATTCATAAACAAATCCAATTTAATCTTTAATTCTCTGGAGAATTTTATGATAAAAGCTATAAGTATGTTAACAACAATGTGTTCTCATGATTTCTAGTTTCTAGACATCTAAACAGCTTTTTTGTGAACTGAAAAAATTCAGATGTTCTGGAAACTGTTCCACCTTAAGAAAGTAGTTTCTTAATAGTTCTCAAAAGAAAACTTGATAAATTTCTATGTGAAGGGTAATAACTGTTCTCAGACTGTTCTCAGACTTATAAGGTGACTTAACCTTTTCCTGCAAAAGTTTTTTTTATTATATAGTGCCATTGTTTAAATCCTGGTTATCTATAGGGTTGTATAGCACAGACTGTTACAGTCCTAGTTCCTCACATGACATCATGTCAAACAAATGGTGGTCATGGGCTTTGATTTTGTTCAGTGTATGACAGTGGGATGACCTTGAATTAGTCATCTTTACTGATAATTCCAGTTGACCTAGCTGAAATGCAGTACAAAATCTTCGAAAGATCAATGATGAGAGGTTTCGTAAAGGACCAGCTAACATGTAGAAAGGATCCTTAGTGTCCTTGTAAAAATATAGTTGTTTCTTTTTCTATTTATTGTACAATAGTTAAATTCAAATTCCTATTTTAGTCCCAAAACAGTAAGAAACAAATCAAGAATGGCTACATGTGTAGTTGTTAGTATATAGTTGCTTCAAGGAACACTATTCTTCTGTTACAGTTGCCTTTTAAATCAGGTGTCTCAAGATAATGAATGATTCATCACAGTCAATAGTTCTATATCTCAGAGCCATTTTCTTAATACCTCAAGACAATCTTCGTTCTTATCTAATATAAGCTTCACATCAACCTATTTTTTGAGCCTGAAAATGCAGATCAATATGAAAGAAATGACATAATTTAGGTTGAATTTGCATCTCACGAGATAGTGGAATCTATTTTCCTCCCCCAGATAAGACACAACAGATCATATTTCTCATTATCTAGATCATAAATCCACTTAACATCCGAGTCAAATCAAGTAGGTTAAGAATATTTTAGTCTGTTTTACAACAGGCTGCTTTAATAAACTACTGAGGTGTTTTAATGAAGTTTTGAGAGCAGAATATCCTGGGTGACCGCTTGAATCCTCGTATAACGATACATGACGCAGAATTACTTTTCGAGAAAAACGCAAAAAACTATTTGTACGCGTATTTTGTTACAAAAATTTTATTATCTTTTTTACCGCTATATGTGTTTTTCATTCTTTGAAAATATAAACCTCATATAACAATTCGAGATCTCTGGCCTATTAAACCAAAAACTAGTATAATAATACAGTATACATGGTTTTTCATTTTCATCCACAGAAAAGGAACATTGAACCTCGTATAATGATATATTTTACAAGGTTTTAAATCTGACTGTTTATATACGTGTTATTTGATTAGTGCTTTTTGAGTTATTTACAATCAAGCTAACAATATGAGCTTTTGATCACAAGATCCGCGCTTTTACGAGCTTTCAAACGGTACCAAAAAGTCCAAATGACCAAATATGGCATATACGTGGTTTCAAGCGGGTCACCCACGATATGTAGCTTATTTCAAGAAAAGTTGCTATTGATCCACTGTATGATAACATGGGCATAGAAGCAAAATTTTCTCTCAGTACAAAGGTCAAATCTCATCAATGTACCAAAATAAATAAAATTTTAGTCTCCATTTTGTGTTTGTGCAGATTGACAATTTGAACTGATTTGTTAAATGAAATATCTTAAAGATCTGATCTACCGTATATTTCCGAATATAATGCGCACCCGTGTATAATTCATAAGCATATTCTATTCTGTTTATGAACATCAGAAGAAAACTCGAGATGCTATTGTTTTTACCTGAAATGTTGACTAACAGAAAAAGAAACCTATTGTTATATCTTATATGTGATCATTTTAAAAATAGAACAATCTTGCATGAACTTCCATTAGTTATTTGGATCACAAATACTACAAGTGATTCAAAACAAGTGTGGAATTGAAGTTACTTTGAAGAAAAGGAAGAAGGAGTACAGTAATTGTATATTTGGAGATATTACAGCTGAAAATCCACCTTGTTACATTTAACGCAGTAATTCAATGATGGTATCAACCATTAAAACCTCATTGACATTGACATATAGTTAACTTCAAGTTATGTTTTATTCATTTCAAATTCAATGTCAGTGTCATTCAATGTCATTATATATATTACATGTATTTTCATGATGACCACGCTTTCAATTATCATATAAATATTTTTCTCAACTTGATGTCTTGTACAGTAGTATTACATTTCATATGTAGGGGTGTTATTAGATTAAATATCAGCTTGATTTATCTAACGCCAAGTGTCAAATGACGTTAGTAACATTAATGATGCAATATTCATGCTTTATTTCATTAAATACACCTACTATAATTGCATCTGATCTAAGTAAGGAGTAAAATCCTGTTGAATTTGAACCGAATAGTGCTATGTTGTGTCTGTGTTTAAAAACCCGATTCAAGTGTCCATGCCATTTTAACAATGATATCCCAGAATTCTGTCAAATTGGCAGACGCAGATTTTATTTCACAATGCATAGTAACCTAGTAGATGTGGTGTCACTCAATCGTTTCCTCTTTTAATATACGTTTCCTCTTTTAATATACGGCAAGTGGAATCACCTTCAGCAAAAAAAATGAAATACAACATACAGATCTGCATTTCACATTTCAAGCCATTTCCAAAACTTTAAATAAGATTTGAAGGTTTAGTTGAAATATTATAACCTTCATGAAAATTTGACTTATTAAGTGGAGGAAAATATTCAAAATGGTTGTGAACTATGTTTGTGAGTGTTATTTTCATGTAAGAATCATGTACCTAGTTTTTATGCATTCCAATCATTTCAATAACCTTGGTCAGAAGTAGGGTATGGTACTAAAATTTCAACATAGCAACCATCATACAGCTTCCTGATAAACACATTTAATTGTAGACATAAATTTGGAGGAGGATTATTTTCCTATCATCACTTGTACAGTTTCCTGTCCAAATCTCACACTAAATTTAACTTTGATGTAAACAAACTTACTATATGAGCATCTTGTTGAAGTTTTTCTCGTTCTTGTTGAGTTATGGCTTCATCAAATTTCTTTAATGTTTCTCTCTGCAAAGCTTCTGTTTGTTTACTCTTCTGTAACTCTTCTGAAAGTTTACTCACTTCTTCCTGTTACCAAATAAAATATAAAAAAAGATGATGATAGGACCAAATATAGACTGTCAACAGTAAGCAAATATATCCAAATGGAAGGAATGAACGAAAAAATAAGGAAATGTAAATATAAAAAGCCCAGATGAATACATGTCAATGTCTCTTTCATTCAAGATATTATGTTGACTATATAAAATGACATCAAGTCATCGTCTTACTGAAGAAGAAAAACTCAATGTAAACTAATGGCTTGCGATTGGTTGTTTGCTTTTTTCTGCTTTTCACAATGCGAGTCATTGGATTGATCAGTAATTATAGTGGTTTGTTCAATAGATAAAACCATAGCAGTTAGTTTTGTAACCTGAACGCAGGGCTAGGTTGTTTGTACATATTTTTTTTTTTTAAGGGAGAAAAAAAAACAATCAAATAAAAAAATCAGATTACAATTTCGTTTCGTTGTTATCTTCCGTTGGTTTCCAATATAATCTAATAAGATATACCAAAGTAGGGTACTGCTGACAATCATTTCAACCAATCACAGTGCATCATGCAGAATCTGTGTCTTAATATTGACTATGAATTGTGGGAAAGCGAAACTCAAAGTAATTCGATGTGACCAATGAGACTGCTGTTACTCACTTTTATAAGTGATTGTGGTTGGCAAATGGTGCATGTTGGTTGGTCACCAGTACGTGACCTTGTTTAAATCTTGTTACATTACAATGGAGACCGATAAAAAAAATTACCAAACGAAATTGTAAACTAAATTGAATTGAATACAAACAAACCTTTAGCTTATCATTCTGATCTTTTAATCTTTCTTTAATCTCTTTTTCATTCATTAAAACTAGTTTTAAATGACTTGTAGCATCTATAGCAGTATCCTTAATAGTCTGGTCTTCTTTAACTGAAATATATACATCTTTTATCAAAACTATATATTTCTATATGGTGTTATATAACTTTCAGTTAGTATATTAAACAAAAATACTATAGAGTTACTATAATCTGGAGATGCCGATTCATCACAATCATCTGAAAGGAAGAGCTACATGCAATTCCAATAAGCTTCCCTTCTAACAAGTCTAAAAAAGAAATGGTCACCAGTTTTTAGACCAGAGCAAAAACCAAATCATTTCTGTGCATCTTGACTGGCAATCACAAATATAACCTTAACTTGTATTAAAAAGTGGTAGTAGAAATATTGGAGGTTTACGACTACCATTTACAACATCCCAATAACTTTAAAGGGATTGTAAAGAGGAGTGTAATGGGAAATGAAAATGAAATGAATGGAGTTTTACATCCTACTCTTCTGCACCTTGTGGGCTAATGAAGACGAGCAACGCCATGCTGGGTGCAATCAGGAAAATTAGCGGCATTAGCCTGCTCTTTTTTCGATTTCCAACTGTCGAGGGATCTTTAACGTGCACAGCCTGTAGCATACGGGGCCTCGGTTCGTTATCCGAACGACTAGACGCTTTTTCCATGTCAGCCCCTCTTACCTGCATCACTGACGGGGAAAGCGGGTTGAAAAATCCGAAGGTATTATCTCGTCCTATGCCGGAATTGAATCCTGGACCTTCAGGTTAGCGAACAAGCGTCTAACTCACTGAGCCACCGCGGCTCCCTAAGTGTAATGGGGACACTGATGGCATTAAGTTGCACCATTTCAATTTTCAATCAGACGTAGACTGTGGTTCCTGCAATTCCACTAATACTAAATGTTTGATGATGTCACCAAACGTAAAGGCCATAAGTGATACAAGAATATTTTGCTATTGGTGACATCGTCATACACTTAGTTTTTGTAGAATTGCAGGAACCACAGATGTCTGATTGAAAATTGGAATGGAGCAAATTGATGCTATCACTGTCCCTGAAACACATAAAATATTTAGAAAACCTTTAAACAATCTCTCTAAGACAACATTATGTTTAAAAGTTGGATTTCCTAGGTCTTAATTATAAATCTAACTATCACAATATCATATATTAGTTAGAAAACTGGACTTTTTAATTATTGTTTTTGTTGTAAAAAGAAGTGTCTTTAACTTAAGACACACTCTCATACATTCCTGGGTTTTTTGAATTAATTGATGGTATTTTTTTGTCTGAGATGTCTTAAAACATAATATTCTCTGAGGAATAACTCCTACAACAAGACATTAGACTTTCTGAGTACTTGGTTATTATTTCTATAAGATCTATTGGGATTTCAAAACAGAACAGGATTATGAAGGTCAAGCAAATGAGCTGTTCACCAGACAAACTATTTTTTTCAAGGAACAATAATGTTGTCACCCCAAAGGTAATACAGTATTACTCCCACTCAAAACAATTCATTTCAGCTGTTGAAAAGGCATCTCATACACTCATTTATATACATTAACAAAACAATTTTCATCAAAACTCAATGTACATAAACCAATTCTGACATACAGGTACAGTGAAACCTCCATAAGACAGAGTTATGCGGGACCATATCAATATTTTGACTCAAGCAGTACCTCGAGACAAACAATAGTAGACTTAAGCCGCCGTTTTTAAATTGGAGTTATTACTCTTGAAATACATGGATTTCGGCAAGACAAAGGATTAATATTACCCAACTATTGAGTAATCCCAATCCCAATTTGGGCACAGATGTAAATTTTTTTCAATAAATATTCTGTGACATACAATGTTTGCAAAACTCTCATAACTAAGTTAGAAATCCGGGCAACCTCAGATATCTCGCCACCCCCCCTTGGGACGTAAACCTGGCTCCGCCACTGTGTCAGCTCTGTTGATTGGCTGTGGTGCATATCAAAGTATTATACGTGTATTATCTGAGAGATAATGACTTCTGAGATACACATTGTAATTTAAGTAATTATTGTTTGATAGGATCGTGAGATTACTTCATCTTAAGCCAGTTATTCGATGTATTTGATTTCGAGTTACACCTAGTTTTAAAAAGGGATTGAAGAATGACTTGGACTTAACCATTGTCGACTGCTCATTGAATTGTGAACAATTTCTGTAAGACCTCAATGAAAATTCAAAAAATCAATTCAATAGATATATCATTCCATGATGCCAAAGTAAGGCTTCCATAATTCATAGAGTCTTCACCTTATTCACTTCCCAATTTTGATATATTCCGATCCAAGAGATCTCATCAATAATCATAGGAATATAAAGTTTCATCAAAATCAAAGTCCATTCTAACTGTACTTTTACCATGGCCAATAACTCTTTATCGAAAATTTGTAAAAAGTGAATTCATGAATTTATCATTACATATATATCAAGTTTCTTCAGAATACAACCAAAACAGTTTAGCCTTTATCACCTTTACAAACCATATTTGATATATATTCACTAGATCACACCAATAACTCAAAATCTTTTCATTGAGAATTTGTGAAATGAACTTATGTATATATCATTTACATCCAGAATCATTCCTCAAAAACCATAATACATTTGTATCTCAAGAGTTTTAGAGAAATAGATTTTGAACAATACCATGTGATTAATAACTAACAATAACAGGACTATAAATTATATATTGAAACAGTGTAGATAGCTATACACAATAAAAAAAAGACATCAATTAGAGCATTGGGACTAATTTCAGAAATTGATTTTCTAGCTAACAACTGTTTATAGAAAAAATTCAAGGAAAATCTGATTTAATTTACGAGTCCAATAGGAAAACTTTATATTCGGGTATTTATCTGTAAATGGGTTATTCTGTAATGGTGTACCATGGATATTGTCTAATTTCAGATTTATACTTAACAAGTTTCTTCAGAATCTATTTAAAACTTTATAGTCTCTTCATAATCCAAATTTAATGTATTTTGGCTAGCTCAGGGCAATAACTCCAAAACTGTTCATTGAAAATGTTGTGAAAATGAATCCTTGGCTAGCTCAGGGCAATAACTCCAAAACTGTTTACTGAAAATGTTGTGAAAATGAATCCTAACATTTTTTGAGAAACAGAATTCCTGATATAAAATATAACAAAATAGTAGGGATGTAATTTTTAACGTCCATCACTTAGAAGTTTCTTCTGGCCTTAGTTGTTGGTGCAGTTATTTTTATTGAAGGGTGATTGGTGTATGACATGAAATTTCATGTTTACAAGGTTTGGGATCGATTATCAACATCTGGCCACATATTCTTGAAAATATCTTGGTGTTAGGATGTCAAAGAATTAATGTTAGAAGATAAGAACTTAGGCCATCCAAGCGTTTCCGAAATACGTGGCTAGTAGTTTCATGATAACCATTCTAAAGTCTGCTTATACCGGTCTTTTAATAATTGACCACTTCATGTACATCCCATTTCCTGTGTCTAGATGTGGTGAAGAGAAATTATAATTTCATACCAGTAGTTTTCATCAAAATCTTTTGCAAATGTTGTCAAATATTTTGTATCAAGAGCCCAAATACATCATTATAGTTTGGCAGGATGAATATCATCACAACTTAACTGCAAAGCTGTTGCCTTTAATAGAGGTCACAGAGGTCAAAACTATATGCTTGTCATCAAAATTCCATCTTGGATACTTATTTACCTATATAATTATTTCATTATGATTCCATTAAATACGTTTTATACCTCTGTCTTCAAATAATGAAGCATTAAAATTTGTGTATACACTAATAACATACAAATTTACAAGTTTCAACAAAATCTGACAGGAAAAACAGTTATATTATGTACATCCATGTTCCCATTTCAGCTTGTAAAAATAATCTCAACTATAAACATGGATTCAAAATTCAAAACAATTTCACTATACATAATAAATAAACAGCCATCCCACTGACAAAAAAAAAATTGATGAACATTTTTCGAATTGAGTTGGCACAGAGGAATCTGAAAAAATTTTACCATTAAAAGATGTTTCGGAAGTCATTTCCTATATCAAAATTCTGTAAAAGTGCTTTTCCGAGATCTTTGTGTTTATGCATGAACTCGGATAAATGGCATCAATTAACTTACTTTTCTAGCCAGAACCAGCCCAGCATCCAACCCCGGACACTATTCTGCTATATCTTTTATGTAGAATATCTATCTTATCGCTATTAGTATTGAACAATAATCATGTTTTTATGAAGATGTAAATACACTGGTACCTAATAAAGCCATGAGTTTTATAGAAATTAATTTACTACAAGGGCGCAGCCATTTTTGTTTTCTTGTTATATGGTGCTAAGTCTCTAGGTATTTAAGACTAACACCCAGATTTCTGTCTACGACAAGGATAGACCGATTCTATTCTTTCGTCACAGTTGGCGTAGACAAAATGAGACTGGGTGATAGAGGCTAAATATTACTATTATAATTTTAGCGGATTTATTAGGGTTAAAAAAATTACCAAGCCAAAATGTATCACAAAATCCAAAACAACATTTTGGCGAAACAATAGCAGAAGCTAATTAACTTTTTACATGAGGAAGAATATCAACCATAAGTGAGTAAGTATTCCATAATGAAAAGTGGTATCAGGTGTCTAGAAGAGTAAGCATACCCTGCCTGGCACCATAATATATAAACCAAGGTATGGTTGCTGATATCAATAACTACGGTAACCAAATTTCTTCTTTATCAAATCCAACCATCAGCTTTTTAAAATTATTGATCAGTCCTGCTATGACATTTTAATTTAATTATTCCAGTGAAAATAAACACTAACTAATCTGATTTGATGGAAATAACCCAAGCAATAAAGATAATCAACATACAAATACCATTATTTTCATTCACAATTACCAGTCCAAAACCAGTCACAAAATCCAAAACGACAATTATTCAACTGGAAGTTTTAACAATTAAAATGTAATCCATTTATGTTTAATCCTTTCCATTTATTTCAGGCACGTCATGAAGACAATTCAGGTATGACAATTATACAAATGAACCCAGACATGACAACTAAGCAATGTTGATTTTAGAAATAATCAGAGGATGGTGGAATTGATGTTTTTGGCAACGTCGTTTATGATTCTGACAAAGAACAGTTGTACAATAGTGAATTGTTGATTAATGATACTGACTGTGTTTTTAATATAATATCAAAATATTAAAAAAATAATTGACAAAACTATGTTTACTTATTTTCACCTCTAAGAGTATTCTCGTTGATATTATCATAAGATTTTGGACATATCACATGAGTGATGATATCATCAGCCAGTTATATCTGATATTACCCTTTGATGATGTCATCACTTGGAATGATTTGTCCAACATTGTATGAGAAAATACTTTGAAGAGGTAAGTATAGACAAACATAGACATGACAACTATGACATCAAACACAACTATGCAGTCAAACAAAGACAAAACATCTATGCAGTCAAACACAACTATGCAGTCAAACACAGACATGACAACTATGCAGTTAAACACAACTATACAGTCAAACACAGACAAGACAACTATGCAGTCAAACACAACTATGCAGTCAAACACAATTATGCAGTAACACAAACATGAAAACTCTGCAGCCAATCACAGACAAGACAAATAGGCAGTCAAACACAGACAATTTTCTGTAATTTATCTCTATGCCAAAAATAAGGCAACGCAATATCAATACAGTGAAGAGGTTGGTACCCACCTTTTTCTTGTAAATCTTTTATATAATCAGCTAATTTCTTGGTGGCTTGTTCAGATTTTATCCTTCTTTCTCTTTCTGTTTCCAATTCTTTCATCAAATGCTGAATTAAAAAAAAAAATCAATTATATTTACCTCAACAGTCACACATATACAAGTTCTATTTTTTTGGAATGGTATAAGTTTGCCTTTTTGGGGGGTTATTTTGGTCTTTAAATAGAATACCAGGAATGTAAGAAAATCTAAAAATTCTATCAAAAATACCACAAACTAGAAATTTCACTTTATATTTTTATATATGTCTTTTTTTTTTTATATGACAGTCTTAAGGAAATGCACTGATTGGCTGTTCTTGCTGCATTTACAAACTTTCTTCATATAAGAAAAGTGCTATTGCAGTCAAGGTATCAGACATAGATTGTAATAACTTGACAAATTTAGGTGAATTATGTCATTCTATATCCTTAACATTTTAATCAATTCAATAACCAGTTTCATTTGCACTTTTATGAAATGAAAAACCTCAGAAGGTAATAGATACTATTGATTAAATACAAAAAATTATCCCATTGATCAGTTAATAGAAGCTTTTATAATGTAAGCTTATATTTTATTTATTACATTAGGGATATAGTAACCTATTGAGACTATTTGATTTACCAGCTGATAGAACTTCAGTTGAAGCAACTGAATATATCAAAAGAGTTGGTAAAGCAATAAATTAAAATTAGTATATTCCTTCAAGATTACTAGAGCCTTGTAAAACAGGAACATGGAAAGTTACTAGATAATTAACTTCATTTGTTTCTTTAAGTGGTCAGAATAACCAGTGGTCAATGACAGATACTAAGGTCAAGGTAATAAGAAGTCAATTTCCAATGATCTGAAACTAGCTATATCTTAAACATAATTTTTTTCCCTTAGGCTATGAACTGATGAACTGAAAAACTGATAGAAATAAAATAGTATTATAGGGAGATATTGAAATGGTTTAATGGCCTGAGTTAAAAACTTATTTGAAATGATATTAATTCAGGGATATTTTAATTTTATGATATTGGACATGTCATATTTAAAACGTATGATTGTGTGTGAATAGAATTGATATCTGAAGAATACTAACTGAGAGACACCAATAAAACTGTATATATAAACTGTCCCCCTGCACTTAGAATAATATATTTGTCTATGTATTTCAGTTACATGTATGATACTGTTTAGTTCATGTACATTATGAGTCTGTATCTTAGCTTAAGTACAAATAGCATAAATATTATTAGACTAGATAATATAGACTCACAGTATCTTGGTCAAAATGAGTCTTTCTTAATCAGTGGACTTACCTGGTGTCATAACTATACAAAAGATTCTCTCTATAATCTAATAAATCCATAACACTAGGTAATCATTCATTAAACTAAGTAATTTAGAAACATGCTTGGTATGGAAAAATTTAGTTTAAAGAATATATTTTCTTATATAGAGATTCTATTCTTTAGTCATGGACTTTTATGTCTATTCTAAGAGGTAGTATTCCTTTAAGCAGTATTGCAGTTTGCAAGTCAAAATGACCCCTTTAGCAATCCAACATTTTTTGTTCAAATATAGAAATATATGCCAACTATCATGATCAATTTAACTAAACGTTGTTGATAAGATCTACCTCAAGTCTACAACTCTAAAATTTTGAATTTATACCAAATTTTTATGGAATGTTAATCAAAATATAACTTCATGAGCCAAAAATAAAATTTGCTGCGATAAATTGCTTATCAAATTTTTCAATCTAAATTAAACCTTGGTTAGATAATATCTGACTAGCACATCCTTCATTAGTAAGTCAATATGATAACTGTGGTATGTTTATAGTGAATAACTGTTTCCACTAAGGAAAAAAGCCGGCTTTAAGCCTTCATGTGTTTTCTGAAAGTCGGCGTTCACTGTACTCAGTGGAAACACAAAAAACCAGCTTTTTATCAATTTCAGCATCAGGGGGGCCTGGTCTTTCCTTTCCTTAACAGAAACGCAACCAACATTTGGACTTTTAGATATTTGTAATTTAACGTTGCTTTGTTCACTTTAACTGCTCATGCGCAACAGTTAAATTTCTGTTAAACGGTAGTCTTGTGCATCATGAGTGGCCATGTGCATCATGAGTTGTCAATAATGTGCGGACTTTTGATCAAGACTAAAGTCGTTCAGAACCAGTTAAACTCAGGGTGTTTAGTAATAAAGCAGGCTCTAAGCTTACAGTCAGCTTTACTTAACAATTCTCAGTGGAAATACGGTTATAGAGTCTTTAACATCTTCAACAACCAATCATTTTCTCACAAATTATCAGAATGATTGTTGTTTGGTGAGAATCCATATAAAATGGTCTGGTCATCTAAATAATGTACTGAATGCTCCAAAGACTCATTGACTTACAATTAACTTTTCAGATTCATTCAGAATTGACCAGGTTAGTTGGAACAGAGTGAAATCAACAACAGTGATAGTCAATATTAAGTTTTCATGACAGGTCAAATAAAATTACAGAATGTTTTTAACTTTATTTACATGTAGTTTAGTTCTACTTAGTCTACTCTCTGTAATCTGATATCTAATGGGCCCATAAAACTGTTGGTTACTGAAAGTGTTGTAATACCTCATGCTTCTTGATTACAACATTAAAGTCATCATAGTTACTATTTATAGCTCTGTATCTGCAACCTCTTTTGGCTTATATATAGGTACATTTCATTTATCCTCTTTATAGCTCTAATTAACAAGTAAAATTTACAAACAATCTATTTTGATCATAACTTTGTTGGGATCATAAAAAATTGTATTTAAAGGCAACCTTGGTTCTTAACTAAAGCCAATGGTTATCAAGGCAAGAACCTTGATCTCATTTCCAGTGATACATCAAAAGAATTGACACATGCAATCCTTTGACTTTATCCTGATTACATGTCAAATTATCTTATTGAGGTTTTATTGGTCAAGATAACTAGATGTCAAATTATGCAGGTTTATCTGCCTGTTCAAATTATTAGCTTTTAAATTTGTAATACACAGAATGTGGTAGCACTCAGAGTGTGTATTTTTAACTGTCATAAGAAGGAAAGAAATCAGGACTTAAAAAAGATGTCAGATTGTTCAGATTGTTGTATGTAATAATCAGATGTCAAACTTCACAAAGTCACTGAATTTTGGAAACTTTCCTCAATGAAGATATGATCTGTAGCAGTGGTGTATTTAGAAAATGTCTCTTTGACATGTGGCTGGGGGTCTGCCAGAGGTGCCCAGCAGTCATTGGATTTCAGATAGCCTGAGATGAATTTTTAGCATTTAGAGGGTTTAATTTCCACTTCAAAATAAGATCTTTCACAGGCTTGAATAAGGACCATGGCCACTGTTTTTTTTTGTACTGAACAAACTTTGTTGTTGAGGCATTTAACAAGTACACAAAATCATAGACATCCTTTATTTTGATCATTACACTTGCTGTATATACAGGAAGGAATCAATCACTGTGGTAAAAGTTAACCATCTAAACAGGTGGGAGACAATCTCACATGTTCATTAAGGGTAAATCTAGTTCAGTAAGCTATTTTAATCCCATAATTCTTAGAAAAAAACCAGCAGGCTATGTCTGAACTTATCTTGATTAGATAGAAGTGGGAGTTAATTTTAAACGGATTTAAAGCCAGGTCTCAAACATTCGCAAGGATGTATTTACGTCTCAAGTTAATCCTAATCCATTGAAATCTGATATCCATGTGTGTTCGTGATCACTGGATTATCAAAGGGATATAGTGCTTGTATCAAACCTCTTTTTATTCCATGAAAATTGATTGAATACAATTGGGGGAAAACCTGTTAAATTGCGTTTGTAGTTTATAATGACACACGATTGGATTGGTCTTGGTCGTGGAATTTTTTTCGCCAAGTAGAGTCTTATCAAGAGTTTCATTGACTGACACAAGGTGACAAAAAAACTCCAGTTGTTGTCCACCATGACGGTCTGACTTGCAGATGACGAAATTCTAATCAGTGACAAAAATCTCCGTACCTTTAAGGGTCAGCAAGAAAACACCTTCTAGAGTAGAAATATAAAAGGTTTTTTGACTGTTAAATTTAATGTACATTTTTTAGATGCAAGGCCTTGTGATATTCAGATTTCCAAATTCAAGAGAAATTGACGATGTCACCTTACTAATATCAGCTTTAATAACTTCTTAGTCGAAGGAAATAGAATATTTAATTAGAATTATCTGCTTAGCGATGTGGAGCCATAAATTTGAATCCCCATCAAAGAGTCGGTCTAGATTGATTTCTCCACACTATACACCAAAGTTAATATTCAAATGAATGTATCCCTTTTAACACTACAGACTCAAACTGTGAATGACGTTTTATCAGTGAAGTATTTTTAAATGTTGCACGAGCTTGACATTTTGCAGCATGTAACTAATACATCTAATTGTAATAGACCAACACTAGAATCCAACATGGAATAATCCTATTTCAATTGAACTTCATGAACCAAAGCTGTTATTCTATAAAGGCTGTAAATTTGATCATAAAAATCCAAGCTTTATTATGTGTCAATTTTGTTAGCAATTAAGAGTAATAGATTTGATAATCATAATTAATAAGCTTACATGACTGTAATGTTAACAACACATTACCTGATTAACAGGTCAGTCAGTTAGTTCAGCTGATAAACAACTTATAACCTGATTGACAGACTTCATTCAGCTGATAAACAACGTATAACCTGATTGACAGACTTCATTCAGCTGATAAACAACTTATAACCTGATTGACAGACTTCATTCAGCTGATAAACAACGTATAACTTGATTGACAGACTTCATTCAGCTGATAAACAACATATTACCTGATAAACAACATATAACCTGATTGACAGATTTCATTCAGCTGATAAACAACATATAACCTGATTGACAGATTTCATTCAGCTGATAAACAACATACTACCTGATTGACAGATTTCAATCAGCTGATAAACAACATATAACCTGATTGATAGACTTCATTCAGCTGATAAACAACATACTACCTGATTGACAGACTTCAATCAGCTGATAAACAACATATAACCTGATTGACAGACTTCATTCAGCTGATAAACATGTAACCTGATTGACAGACTTCATTCAGCTGATAAACAACATATAAACCTGATTGACAGACTTCATTCAGATGATAAACTACATATAACCTGATTGACAGATTTCAATCAGCTGATAAACAACATACTAATTGATTGACAGATTGCATTCAGCTGATAAACAACATATAACCTAATTGACAGATTTCAATCAGCTGATAAACAACATGTAACCTGATTGACAGACTTCATTTAGCTGATAAACTACATATAACCTGATTGACAGACTTCAATCAGCTGATAAACAACATATAACCTGATTGACAGACTTCATTCAGCTGATAAACAACATATAACCTGATTGACAGATTTCTTTCAGCTGATAAACAACATACTACCTGATTGACAGATTGCATTCAGCTGATAAACAACATATAACCTGATTGACAGACTTCATTCAGCTGATTAACTACATATAACCTGATTGGCAGATTTCATTCAGCTGATAGACAAAATATAACCTGATTGATTGACTTCATTCTGCTGTTAAAAAACATATAACCTGATTGACAGACTTCATTCAGCTGATAAAGTACATATAACCTGATTGACAGATTTCATTCAGCTGATAAACAACATACTACCTGATTGACAGATTGCATTCAGCTGATAAACAACATACTACCTGATTGACAGACTTCATTCAGCTGATAAACTACTATATATAACTTGATTGACAGATTTCATTCAGCTGATAAATAAAATATAACCTGATTGACTGACTTCATTCTGCTGTTAAAAAATATATAACCTGATTGACAGACTTCATTCAGCTGATAAAGTACATATAACCTGATTGACAGATTTCATTCAGCTGATAAACAACATACTACCTGATTGACAGATTGCATTCAGATGAAAAACAACATATCACCTGATTGACAGACTTCATTCAGCTGATAAAGTACATATAACCTGATTGACAGATTTCATTCAGCTGATAAACAAAATATAACCTGATTGACAGATTTCTTTCAGCTGATAAACAACATACTACCTGATTGACAGATTGCATTCAGCTGATAAACAACATATAACCTGATTGACAGACTTCATTCAGCTGATTAACTACATATAACCTGATTGGCAGATTTCATTCAGCTGATAGACAAAATATAACCTGATTGATTGACTTCATTCTGCTGTTAAAAAACATATAACCTGATTGACA